TTCTGAACTAAACTTTTTAAAGATACCATCTTCAAAGAATGCCAAATCACCTTTGAGAAAATATTTAAAGCAGGGGCACCTGGGACATTCAGTCAGTTAAGCATCTGACTTCAGCTCAGATCATGATCTCACGGTTTGTTGTGTTCAAGCCCTGCATCAGGCTCCGTGCTGACAGCGGAGAGCCTAGGGCCTGCTTCAGATTCTGTCTCCCTCTCTGTCTGCGTCTCCCCCATTCAAACTCTGTCCCTGTCACTCAAATATAAATATTTTTAAAAAATTAAAAAAAAGGGGTGCCTGGGTGGCTCAGTGATTAAGCGTCCAACTTTGGCTCAGGTCATGATCTCACAGTTTTGTGGGTTCAAGCCCCGTGTTGGGCTCTGTGCTGACAGCTCAGAGGCTGGAGCCTGCTTCGGAATCTGTGTCTCCCTCTCTCTCTGCCCCTCCCCTGCTCATGCTCTCTCTGTCTCAAAAATAAATAAAACGTTAATTTTTTTTTAATTAAAAAAGTATATTTACAGCAGATGTGGGATTTGACACTACTACTAAAAGGCTGAAAATCCTGCAAATTTGCAAATCTGTCATCTTCCTTTCTTATTATTTGTGTACTGTGTTTCCATCTACAAGGAGCACAGTGTACCCAAGGCTTTATAAATTTATGGTGGAGAAAAGCAAAGTTTGTTGACCTTTCTAGGTTTAAAAATAACTGTGATTTTGTTTGTTTGTTTGTTTGTTTTGGTTTTTTTGGTTTGGTTGAAGTAGACCATACCGATTGTCTTAAGTAAATGAGTATTAGTACTTGAGGGCTGTGGTTGAAAAACAAGTTAATCAGCTTCTTTCTGAACTAGTTAGGATATATACAGAACACACTGGGGGATTCTGGACTGGGTCCCATGGACTCTTACCAAGTCAGACACAGCCCTATAAAGTCAACTTTTGTCCATACTCAGCACCCTGGAAATCCAGTTTGGCTAATTTTTAGGAGAACTGTATAGCTAACTCCCTCTCTTACTTTTCCTAAATGAACATTCCTACTTACTGCTGGTCTACTTATACACACACACACACACACACACACACACACACACACACTCTGTCCTCAGTAATTTGTAGAATCATCCTCGTTTTCTGTCATCTTAACTACTGAGGTATGGAAACAACGGATCTTTTGAAAGTATTTGGTAATTTTGGCTTAAAATATATGTGTGTGTTCATAGGTATCTACCTATCATTTGCAAGATTTGTAAGTATTCTGTGCCCTAGGAATGAAACAAAACAGAAAAATTATTGTCTTCATGATGCACACACTCTAGCAGGAGAAGGCAATAAATAAATAAACAAGCAAACAAAACAATAATAATAATAACACTGTAAAATAAGAAAGCTAGGGGAAAAAACGTAGAAGTTATAAGGAACAAGCCTTTGGGGGAAGAGTAAAACATAGGAATGCTTAAGAATGTTTGAGAGGAGTCAGGAAATCCCGGAGAAGGTAAGATTTCAGTAAAGGTTAAAGGCAGTGAAGACACAAACCATGCAGGCATTTGGGGAGCAGAGGTAGGGATATCTAGAAAGAAAGGGCAAGTGTACAAGCTCTGAGGTAGGAGCCTTCCTGGAGTACTGGAGAAGGAAGCATCAAAGGGGTCAGTGTAGCTGAGGGGGGTGGGGGGCTGAAGGTGGAGAGGGTGTGAGCTGAGGTAAGAGGCTAGATTGAAGAGCCTTGTAGCTGAGGCTTGTTTTATCACTAAGCGTCGTATTTCGTGGGAGAGAAGAAATTTTATTTTTCCCAAGTATTATACCTTTAAAAAAAAATGAATCGCTGACCCATATTCCCCAGCTGACAGTTACTACTTCTGCCCACCTTAATTTTGAACCTCTTCGGTTTCAGCTGCGAGTCCAGTAAACATTTCACCCTATTGGCCCACCTCTGCCATCTAGTGGTTAACGCTTGCAATTACCAGAGTTTCTGACCACACAGAAGACCGTGGGGGAAGGGCTAAGGGAAGGAGGCTAATTTTTGGCAGAATAACAATAGAAAAGAAACAATAGAAAAGAAAAGCTTTCTGAAACCACAACAGGGGGATGAAGAAATCTAGGGTGCAGATTGCTTCTTCATTGGTTTGTGTCAAGATTAAATCAGAAAGAAAGCCTGAATGCTATCGCACCCCATTTTTTGAAATGTATTTCAAATTTCATCAATGGAACTAAAGAAAATTGGAGTTCAAAACATTGAAAAACAGAAAAAAAGGACAAGTGAAGTGAAAATGAAAGGTTACAAGTGAAGAGTTAATGAGGAAGATAATGAACAGAAGTTGGGTGTATAGATGGAACAAAAAATAGTAATTAAGTGTAATGGTATTATTAGATTAATTACTGCTATATCTTTATTAAAAATAGACTAGTTGTTTTACACAGAATTCAGTTATGTAATAAACTATGCATGATGTAGTTTGTCAGTTTTTTTTTTTTTCAACGTTTATTTATTTTTTTTGGGACAGAGAGAGACAGAGCATGAACGGGGGAGGGGCAGAGAGAGAGGGAGACACAGAATCGGAAACAGGCTCCAGGCTCTGAGCCATCAGCCCAGAGCCTGACGCGGGGCTCGAACTCACGGACCGCGAGATCGTGACCTGGCTGAAGTCGGACGCTTAACCGACTGCGCCACCCAGGCGCCCCATTGTCAGTTTTAACATTTATTATGATTTTCCTCTTTTTCATATTTCTGTAGTAGTTTTGGTTGGCATTTACAGAAACACAGGAGAATGTGACCTGGTGTAGAATATTTGGAAGATGACAGTTAATTCTGTGTGGCTGATGCATGGGAGAATAAATATTAACGATAACTGAAATGCTAACTTAGAGCTTGCTAGAAGGGTTTTGTTTTTTTTGTTTTTGTTTTTTTTTGTTGTTTTTTTTTTCGGTTTTTTTGTTTGTTTGTTTGTTTGTTTTTTTATCACAGAAAGCATAGTTATCTTTATCCTGTCAGTACTGGAGAACCATGGAAAGGTTTTAAGCAGCAAGTTATGGGATTAAGCTTCCTTTTGGAGATTACTTTGTTAATGTGGCATGAAAATTGGATTAAAGGTAGAAGATACTAGGGAATAAATAGTTCCACTTAATATCCAGTTCTTTAGCTCAGAAAGCAGGCATCATCCTTAACTCCTTAGTCCCTCATTCCCCCATCATTTTGTATACTACTTTCTAAATTTATCTTGTATCCACCTTTTCTTCATCTTTAGTCCAAACATCCTACCTAAAGCTACTGTCACTTCAGTGCTGAAGCACTGCATTAGCCTCTTCAGTTGTCTTGTCCCACCTACTGCTCTCCCATCTCTTTTACCCAGGGAAAGCAAACTGATCTTCTTAAAATTAAAAATTGAATCATGATCTTTTGTTAAACCCTTCTGTGGCTGCCTGTGAGACCCTGCAGGCACCAATGTTAGCCTGTCCACCAATCTGTCACTCCACACTCCTGAAATTGTTCCCTCCAGCTCCACTGGAGGCAGGGGGGCTGAGGCTAGCCTGGCCCTTTCCTAGGATCCAAGAACAGGATTTGCCAGAGTCGGGCTTGGGAGTGGTGGTGATGAATACAGGTGGAGTCACCATAAATCAAAAACATAAAATAATAATTTTTTTTTAAATATCAAAAAACATGGTATAACTCAGGTGGAAATAGGGACAGCCCCCTACAAGGGCTCCCTCCTCCAATACTGCAAGAATAGAAGTAACAGAAAAATAAATTAAGGGAAGCAGCCATTGCCACCAGCCAAGCACATGCAACCACCCACTTCCACACTGATCATGGAGGTTAGCAAGCTGGGAACCACTTTGTCCATTTTGTCCAATCCCCACCCCAGGAAGAGCAGAAGTTTCTGGCCCTGCTACCCCAGATAAAGAAAGCATTGTTTCAAGATCAAAAAGTCTCAAATTGTATTCTTCCCCACTAATAATTATAATGTATCCTAATAAGCTCATAAATTCTGAAGTAGAATCGGGATCAGTAGATTATGATTAGCATGGATTAAATAGTATATTGTCCTCAAAGGAAGACATTTCTCCCAGGAAGTGACACTCATGAATATATTAGGTACTTATTATTTTGGGTCCTTATTTATTTATTAAAGGTATTTATATAATCATATATTGATTCATTTATTTATTCAATTTGGAGCGACTTCTGTGTGCCAAATTATTAGGTACAAGATACAGAGATGAGAAGACAACAAGATCCCAGGAAAACGGTGAACACAAATATGTGAAAATATAATATAAACGGCAGTGCTGTGTGAAAAGCACAATAGTAGGTGTGTCTAGAGAAAGGACTAGTATGTTCTTTTTAGGAGCACGGTGTGAGGTTTAATACAAAACACAGTACAGATAGACTTCACAAATCCTTTGGGTTTCTATTAAGTTATTTCTGGTATACATCTGTTATTCTTAAAATACCTTTTGAGTTTCTCATCTCAGTGATTCAATTGAGTTTTTGAAAATTATAAGGCCAAAAGATCAAATCAGTTTATTTTTACATGATGTAGTATGATTGACATTATTGCCCTTGTATGAAGAATAAAAAGTTATATATTTTTGCCCTGTATGTTTATTTCCTCTTAACACTTAGAGTTAGTAATTCTAATATGGCTTTCAGTTTATTAGAAATCATTTTATTTCACAACATTTCAAAACATCATGAATATTGGAAAGATTTTTGATTTATGTGTTTGAATGTAATGTTCAATTTATAAGCAAATTCAAACGACTTTAAAAAAAGTCTGAACAGTAAGCACCTTCAAAAGAAAGCACATTTTTGTGAAGATTTTGTAGATAATGAAATGAAACCTGGCGGTTTTTTTCTTTATGAAGACACTGCTAACATTTCAGTAAATGATATACTTTAAGGAAAATGAAAGAACTCTGCAGATAGAGAGATGCATTTGAGGACTGTTTATCGCCAATATTTAGAAAAATAAACACTGCTGGCATTCAGTTCCGTCTGTTTTAAATTGCAGCACCTTATGAAATATGCCCAGAGGATTACCTGATGTCGATGGTGTGGAAAAGGACCCCGGCAGGCGACTTGGCATTCAATCAGTGCCCACTGAATGCCACAGGTAAAGTACGAATGACCCACCCAAATCCAAATGATGATTGCCCTCTAAGAACAGCATGCTATGTTTGCGTATGAAGTCATGCTTTTGTCCTATATCCATAAATAAATCTGTGCAATAAGCAATGAAACAATCTTAGTAAAGTGCTTCATAAATGGAGCCAATGAAGAGACCTAGAAATTATTGCTGGTGCAATGGTTTCTCAGTGGCATTAACATGCACTTTAAAGATAATCAGCGTAACATTTTCATATGCATGTTTTCTAAGCAAGAAAACGTACAAACCCAATTCTTCAGCCTGCCTCCCAATTACGTGATGCCTTCTAGCATCTCTGTGATAAAGCTTCTCTCTGTTCTTTGTGACGCACAGGCACCACTAGCAGACGCTGCTCTCTCAGTCTTCATGGAGTGGCCTTCTGGGAACAGCCGAGCTTTGCAAGATGCATATCCAATGAGTACAGACACTTGCAGCATTCAGTAGGTGCAAAGCCAGCTTTAGTACTTGCTCTGTTTATTTTTTCCTAATGATCACTGTGTGAGAATTTAACCTTCTGCTTTATAATCAAATCAGCCAAAATCTCTGAAAAAATGCCTGAAGGAAAAAGTGATGTGACAGAAAGCTCATTTTTATAAGTCACTGCTAAACTGTTTTGTTCCTAGGGTTTGGGTTTTTGGGGATCCTGCTATTTACATGAAGGAATTCCTTGTCTAATGGGGACAAGGCCTGAACAAAATTCGTTATTCAGTTTCACCTGGAAGAATTAAACTGTATGTTAAAATTAGCACAAGTCTGTGTTAAATCATATCTAAGACATTGCAAAATACTGTTTATTTCTAAATTATATTTCTTAGTAGTCGGGAAATGATAAGCTGTTCATTTAGGTATCAAATTTCTCACTGCATTTTGACAATAAGACATTGAAAAAATGATAGTGTTACTGCACCAGAGAAAATTAATTACTTGCAAAAGATTAAGTGGACCAAATTTTTTAAAAATTGCCCCTCTGTTCCCACACATCACTGAATTTCTCACAAACTATGATGTATGAATATTTTGAGCACAGTTAAATTTTGCTTGGTGTTTTAGAAGTGCAAGTCATTGTCATTATTGGAGACTGTTGTCATTTCATCCTGACAATCAAGAGGAACTCTATCAATGAATAAACATTGTGGAGTTTAGAACAAATATGATCATGAGCCAGCTGGAAAGTTGGACATTGACAGGGATGATATTTAGTTAAGAACTTTCAAGTTTTGTTGTGCTTATGTTTTCTTTCATTTTTTTTTTTTACTGTCACTCAAAACTATGCATAATTCTTTTTAAAAAATGTAAAGAAGATTCTTGCTTGTGGATGGAAATTCGGTTCATGCAATAATAACTCCTATTGATGAAGTAAATGTGTTTAGTTCTCAAAAAAACAAAAAAAAATCACATTAAAAAAATCTGAAAATGAAATACTAATATGTTTACTTACCAAATCAGTAGTGGTAATTGAATTGATGATTATTTACCATTTGGAGCCTTATTCCTGTTATCTGTTTATCTATCTATCTATCTATCTATCTATCTATCTATTCCTGTCATATCTATAGATATAGATAGGGGAGTTACACACAAGTACTGACATACACGTCAATATATGCTGGTTACATACAAATACCTAGATTTAAAAATATATATTTCAGTTCAGCTCATGATCTCACAGTTTGTGGGACTGAACCCCGCATCCGACTCTGTGCTGACAGTGCAGACCCTATCTGGGATTCTCTCTTTCCCGCTCTCTCTGCCCACTACCCCCTTCCCTGCTTACTCTCTCTCTCTCTCAAAAATAAATAAGTAAACATTAAAAAAAAAAGATTAACCCAAAATTTCCTTATGAATTTAATTTTAATGAATTTTATTTTTCCCTAATTTTAGACATTTGATTTTGTTTACTTAATCTTAATAATATCCACATTCAATTCTTGTTAATCCATAGTAATGAATGGGAGTAATTGCAGGGATTAAATAAATCATAAGTCAATCCTTATGAATTTGTTAATAAGTAATATCACTTTTTTGCAGAAAATTTTTACTTCCTAAATTCAGTGTTTTGTATACTAATATTTAATGAGTTTGCATTTCATCTGATAATGGAGAGAAACAGAAACACTGTGTGAAATACAAGACTTGATCTTGAACTGTGAATTCCATAGAAATCATTCAGTCAATAGTTTCACAACCAGTTGTATATGCCTTGGTTGACTTGCATACATAAATCAGATGCGTGATATTATAGAATAAAAATCAATCTCAATGTACTCAGCTCCTACAAAGTACCAGACACTCAGCCTGGACACTTTGATAAACCAACTCCAGTGCTCACAAGAATCTGCAAGGTGAATATCCCTGCCTCGGTTTGCATACAAAGTACTGAAAATCTACAAGGGAACAATCCAGTTTTACGAGGCAAAGAGTGAAAGTTGTGTCCAGCTACAGTTGTTCCAAAGCTTAACCTCTTTTCTGGAGGCCATGCCACCTCCTGAGCTTTTGATTTGAAATCATCTGCCCTTAGATTCTGGTACTGAAGACATAATTTTTGGGTGGTGTGTTTTTGGAAAAGTCATGTAATCTCAAATCTTGGCTTTGCAAAAAGAAGTTGGTAGCATCATTTTAACATCTCTGGAAGTTTCAAGGGAGAGCAGAAGACATACTATACATATTAAATCTTATGAATTGTAAAAGAACTTTGTAACCATGAGGTATTAATATCTACATGTACAGAATATACATTGAGTTAAAATATTATCTCACTAAGAGTAAAATTTTAAGGGGCACCTGGGTTAAGTGTCTGAGTTAGGCTCAGGTCATGATCTCACAATCTGTGAGTTCAAGCCTGGCAACGGGCTCTGTGCTAACAGCTCAGAGCCTGGAGCCTGCTTCAGATTCTGTGTCTCCCTCTCTCTGTCCCTCTCCTGCTCACACTCTGTCTCTCAAACATAAAGAACATTAAAAAAAAATTGTTTAAAAAAAAAGTAAAATTTTAGAACTCAACCTATTATTAATGTGAACTACACATGTGGAAAACTAATACAGATGGAGGAATAGATAGGTAGATAGATTAATAGAGGGATGGGAGTATAAAATTGATGTCACATGGATTTTTGCACATGAATTATGTTTATATACCTATACAAAAATATACACACACTTACACATCATATATATACACACATCTAGTATTTGCCTACGGATCATGATCTTTTCCTTTACATGTTTAGGGAAGTATAGGACCAATCTGTGCCTTAAATAATGCTTACCTAACCCATCAAATTCATCATGTGTACTCTAAAAAGTCAATTGGAGGTGGAAATGAAACCAACTTCCCTTCATACTCTTATTCCTATTGCTTCCCGTGCTTTGTCTGAGTAGCAAAGCTAGATAGTGCTTGTGATATAGAACAGTTCTGATTCCCATAGATTCTAAAATCACTTTGAAGACTCTGCATCTTCTCCTTTAGTAGAATTTATTATTTCACAATGTAATTGTTCTATTGTCTTTGAAGGATTTCATTCTTTGCCCCCTCTATAATCGGAAAGCTCGTTAAAATGTTAATTGTTACCTACTATGGAGAATTATTTTAAATAGGTAGATGTCTGTTTTCCAACTCTTTTACATATGGATTACAATACATGTACATACCCACATAGATTACAATACTTTAAATACCCATTTTGCAAAATTACAGTGATAAATCAAGTTTGTAATGACTTTTTATCATTAATAAACATTAGATGAGTTTTTTCTATGAACTCTCATAATTATAAGCCAGTGGAGGTAGACAGAATGGGTTGGTTAAACAGTTTGATATATAAAATCACTAATCCATCACGTTGAACATTTAGTTTGAACTCTTTGAGGACAGAGGCCATGTGAGTTTTTTTTTTTATCTTTATTTCTCTAGTGACTAACACAGTACTAAGCATACACTAGCATATACTAAGCATATATTAGATATTCCATAGACACTTATAAAGAATGTCTCTGCCACTTTTCTAATCAGTGGGAGCATACTGGCAGCTGGAGGGTTCTCAGGTGATACACCAGGCTTAATGTTCATGAATTTTAACCACATGAAATTAATAAGTATTATCCCTCATGTGCAATTTTCCTAGCCCCAAAATATCTAGAAATGTGGAGTGATTGATGACATTATTTTATGAAATTATTTGGCCATTGCAGAATTTCAATAAGCTAATAGTCATGAATTTGTTTGAAACCTTATAAGCTCTAAAATTAAACATGATCCAACTGTTATTTATTAAAATACAAACCACAAACAAATGCACACAATTTTTAAAAATTGAGGAGAGAAGAATAAAGTGTAGTAGGATTCTTGAAATTTTGATATTTTCTCACTTGTTAATATTTCAATTCATATTCTGGGATATTTTCTGAATTTTGTGCCAAACAAAGTATAAATAATTTTACAACCTGTTGAGAAATGGGCACAGGAGTCAGGCAAATTGAGAAAACATTTTCTTGTTACTCATAAAGCTCTTTCAAGAGGAAGGATGAATATTGTGGGCAAAGAGGGCCAGCCTCTCCCTGTGTGAAATAGATCACCCTGTATCTAGTACACCTGGGCAATCACAGACAACTTCTTCCTACCTCAGTCATCTCTCTCTTTTTAATTCTCTCCCTCCCTCTGTCTCTTTTACACACATACAAATACATGCTCACACAGGCACACGCACACACACACACTCCTATGCTTGAAGTGACAGAACTAGTAGGATATATACTCTCTGCATGTAGAGAGTTGTAAAGCAAAAGTTGAACCACGCATACCAATGCCTTTTCTTAAATTCATTCAGTGTATGTCATTACTCTTTCCCTGGAGAGGAGTGAGTGATGGGATTGAAAAAGATCAAAGATAGATATTACTCTAATAGAAGTCCTTCCATATGGACATATGTAGAATTAGGTATAAATGTTACCTTTTAAGTCATTGTACCTTAACACCTCTGTTTCTATTTTTCAAACCTTCATTTAACACACAAATAGGAGTACCTGGGTGGCTCAGCCTGTTAAGCATCTGACTTCAGCTCAAGTCATGATTTCACAGTTTGGGAGTTCAAGCCCCATGTTGGGCTCTGTGCTGACAGCTCAGAGCCTGGAGCCTGCTTTGGATTCTGTGTTTCCCTCTCTCTCTCTGCTCCTCTCCTGCTCCTGCTCTCTCTGTCTCTCTCTCTCTCTCTCTCTCTCTCTCTCTCTTTATCAAAAATTAATAAACATTAAAAAATTTGAAAAAAAAACAAATGTGGAAGTAAGATTAATAATCTAAGTCATTGAAAAGTTGACTGTGGAAAGGGCTGTCAGGGAGTTTGAATCCTGATATTAAGACTTTGTTTCTCCTGTTTTTGTCTACTTTTATGGGTGGTGTATTAAGACAGAGAGATAAAAATAGACATATTTTTATTCAGGGGAAACTTGA